TGGTTAGAGCTCGACAACTGGCCTCTGTAGCTCAGTTGGTTAGAGCTCGACAACTGGCCTCTGTAGCTCAGTTGGTTAGAGCTTGACAACTGTCTCTCTGTAGCTCAGTTGGTTAGAGCGCTGCACAGGAATCGCAGGGCACGCTAGGTTTGATTCCTGCCAGAGGGCCGATAGTTGTATTTTTCACAACTGCTCCTGATTAGGTCTAATAAATGTATAAAAATTCCACTCAAAATTTCCATCTACAAATACCTTCAACAATTAGTTATATCGAGTGAGATGGCCAAAATTCTGATATTTACCCATAACCCACGTTTATGCCCAGCATTGCCACACAATTCACATGTTCAGATGGAGAACTGACATGACGTACTGGTTACTCCTGTTCTGATAGTGTAAACATAGAATGAAACAAAGGCAACCAAGCATTAAAGTTATATATGTTTTTAGATCCAATGGCACGTAAACGTCGTAAAAAATATGGTGGCAACAAAGGCAAATGCTTCACTGAGGGGTGGTTGGAGTTTAAAGATAGAAATGTGGCAAAGTCTGTTGCAGCTTCACTCAACAACACCATTGTTGGTCTGTATTTCCTAATTAGTTTTTTTAATTGCTTCATTAGACATGTGTGTATCTATTGATTATATGGGGATGTGCTCATTAGTGTAAGCTTATGGCAATGATAATCAATTGATTTATTAAGGTGGAAAAAAGAGAAATTATTACCATGATGATATATGGAATATAAAGTATTTGCAAAAGTTTAAATGGTCTCACCTCAGTGAAAAAATGGGTAGGTAATATCATATTACCATTGTCATCACCACCATCACATGTACTACCATCATTATTGCCGTCACAAATACTACCACCACTATCATCACCACTACATCATCACCACCACCATCACCACTACATTATCACCAGCACCATCATCACCACCACCATCATTACCACCAGCATCATCACTACTACCATTACTACCACTACCATCATCACTACCATCAACACCACTACCACCATCATCTCTATCACCACCTCCTCCATCATCATCGCCACCACCTCCATCATCACCACCACCTTCATCATCACCAGGAGCAGCATCATCACCATCATCATCACCACCATCATCACTATCAAACTATAACATTTCCCACTTTGCCTACAGCTTACCAAAAAGCAGTCCGAGAACAACGGATGAGAACAGAAATCTCGCAGGCGAAACGAGAAGCGAATTTCTACTTGGAAAATGTTGACAAAAACAAAGCTTTCAAAGCAATGGAAAAACGAAGAAAAAAGAAAAATTCCGAAGACATAAACACGAAAGTGGGTAGATTTTAAAATCCCACTGTTCTCCATGCCATCCAGTCATGATCCAGTGATCAGAATGTTCCATTGTCTTTTCATTGTTTTGAAAATCCCACTGTTCTCCATGCCATCCAGTCATGATCCAGTGATCAGAATGTTTCATTGTTTTTTCATTGTTTTGAAAATCCCACTGTTCTCCATGCCATCCAGTCATGATCCAGTAATCAGAATGTTCCATTGTCTTTTCATTGTTTTGAAAATCCCACTGTTCTCCATGCCATCCAGTCATGATCCAGTGATCAGAATGTTCCATTGTCTTTCCATTGTTTTGAAAATTCTACTGTTCTCCATACCATCCAGTCATGATTCAGTGATCAGAATGTTCCATTGTCTTTTCATTGTTTTGAAAATCCCACTGTTCTCCATGCCATCTAGTCATGTTCCAGTGATCAGAATGTACCATTGTCTTTTCATTGTTTTGAAAATCCCACTGTTCTCCATGCCATCCAGTCATGATCCAGTGATCGGAATGTTCCATTGTCTTTTCATTGTTTTGAAAATCTCGCTGTTCTTCATGCCATCCAGTCATGATCCAGTGATCAGAATGTTCCATTGTCTTTTCATTGTTTTGAAAATCCCACTGTTCTCCATGTCATCCAGTCATGATCCAGTGATCAGAATGTTCCATGATTGTCTTTTCATTGTTTTGAGAATCCCATGCACTGTTCTTCATGCCATCCAGTCATGATCCACTGATCAGAATGTTCCATTGTCTTTTCATTACAGTCAAACCGGATGTTCTCTTGCGAGCAACATTGCAATATTGTCCCACAATATTGCAATTTTGATAGGCAGATTGCTCTGAGCAAATTGCAACCGACGCGAATAAATTCCAAGTTGGAAATTCACAAAAGATTTGTAAACAAAGCCTCTGATTGGATTATAAGAAAGAGGGAAGCCAATCAAGTAGTCTGAGCAACTGGATTGGTGCTTCCCCCTTTCTTATAGTCCAATCAGAGGCTTTGTTTACAAAACTTTTGTGAATTTTAACTTGCAATTTGTTCGCGTCGGTTGCAAATTGCTCAGAGCAATCTGCCTATCAAAATTGCAATATTGTGGGACAATATTGCAATGTTGCTCGCAAGAGAGCATCCGGTTTGACTAATTGTTTTGAAAATCCAACTATTCTCTATCACTCGTTACAAATGTGTCTGTTAAACTCTGTTTTACTTCTCACAGCCTGCAAAAATTCGAAGGCTTGAAAGAGCAGCAAAAACAAAGAGTGATAAGAAAAAAGTCAGCCCTGCTGCAAACACACAACTGAGTAAAAGCTTGTTGAAGAAAGTGAGTTGTAGATGATGTAATTTTTATTGATTTAAATCACTGTCTAGACTTAACATTCTGCCTGTATTGAAATATAGCATCGTTTCATGGCTTGCGCATAATCTTGTTTTGTTTAGATATTCACTGGAGGAAATGGTTAACAGAGTCATATAAAACCAATTAATCTCCACTGATGTCCACACAGTACAAGAATGAGCATGCCCACACAAGCTCAGAATGTATGGTGTTTACGAGTAACAGCATCGAATGTCTCCCCCACAGAAATTATGAACCATTAATAAGTATCTAGTGGTATAGGCCGATGCGATATTAAAAGAATCGATATATTGATGTCTTTAAAAATATCGACTATAGCGAATTATGCAAATTAGAAAACATAGTTTAGTCAACTTGCATGTACAACGCATCACAGACAGCAAAAAAAACAAAGTTGCATGAAACAGGTTAAACCACAGATCTAGGTATTTCTAGAACAGTGGGTCAAACATTAAGAGATGTTTCTCAACAGTTTATGAATGTTTAAAGATTCATACACATGACGTCTAACATTACCGGACAATAATTGCCGAAAAAAGGAGATTAAAGAGAGTGGCAATATAAATTTTTATTTCCTCATTTGAAAGAACTTTTGAAACTTTTACCGATTTTTCATATCTCGCTTAAGGCCATGTTACACGGTGCAATTTTTCTTGCAACTTGCAATGCATTTCTACTCTTGAGAGATGTTAATTAGTGAAATCAGTAAAGAATTTTCGATATGTTTAGAAAACATCAGCGGAGTGTAATGAAGACTCGTACTTGGCAATTTTACATCTCTCAAGAGTATAATTGCATTGCAAGTTGCAAGAGAAATTGCACCGTGTAACATGGCCTTTAGTTCTCGAAATATTTTCACTTGAAGTAATGAGATGTCCGCCATCTTGGATAAAATTTTGATCTCATTAACGGTAGTTTTGGCGACGTCACAACAGGGATTAACCATATAAAAGTATTCGTTGTTGCTGACCAAATATTGATTGGTAGATGTTTTAAAGGTTTTGAGTGATCTTGATATTTCGAAGGGCAGACAGAGTATAGTTTGAGTGCAAAATGATTAGTGCTTGTCTAGATAAAAATATTGTAGGGGTCACCCCTGTTGTGACGCGACATGCATATCTACAAATGGCGACCATTTCATTCCTTTCGAACAAAATATTTGTAGAAATAAGCAAGATATGAAAAAAACGGTAAAAGAGTATTATATATAGTCTTAAAAGTTCTTTCAAATGAGAAAATAAAAAACATACTGCCATTTCCCTTTAAGTTGTCTAGTTTCGATATGCGAAAAATCGATTATCGATATTTTTGAAAAATATTGGTATTTATCGAAAACATTGATATATCGCATCAGCCCATAGTGTTTAAAATGGGAACCATGTACGTTGTAGCCCATTCGAGAAAAGATGATCCATTGGACTGCTACCTATGCTGACATTGATGATTTGAAGGGCTAATTATCTTATATATAATTCTATAATACAAATTCCTAGTCATAGGAAAATATCATAAAATATCTACCATGCTACGAAGACGTTCAACAACAGCCTTTCTTAGGTTGTCCGGCAGGCTGTTCATCGACAATTTCAACACCTCGTTTTCTTGACGAAGCGCCACGCCTACCACTCGACTGACCGTTGCTTGCAGAAGCATCTTGTGCGGTCACCATTGCTAAACAATACAGATTGTTAAAACTTCTGATTAGTTTTGGGTTGACAATCGAAATGCTTCACCTGCTGACGTCTTGATCTTTAATCGGTTTTTTTTTTCAAATATGTTACCCACTCACAAACTGAATGTTGGACAGTTCTACTTTTTTACTGTTCGCGCAAACAACAAATTCGCCTAGTGGAAACTGGGTTTTAGTCCCCCCCAACCCCCAAATAAATTATCTAAGGACTTACCCATCCTCGTCCCCAGGGCCTCTCTGGGACACACGGAACCGCAAGTGCAAGAGAACTTGCAGTAGTTTCTCAAGCGCATGGTCTTGAATTGGAACGCTTCAGTACCCGTATTACGAAGAAACGAAGTATATGTGTTGACATGTGTTGATAGAATAATTTTGCCTAACGAAAACTGCTCAACTTCTGCGAAATAGCAGTTCTCTGAGAAGCCAATCAGATCTCTCCCTTTAGTCGTCTAACCCAGAGCCTAATTTTTAACGAGTGACCAAGTGAAAATGGCTCTGGGGACGTGAATGGGACCGTTTTTCAAACGGTTTCGTCCCTGCTGTTGCTCGTGTTCATAATTAAACTCTCAGTTGTTATAGTACTTTTTATCTAATTACAAAATATTTTATTGTCATGCTATGTAATTCCAAAGCAATTCAGTTGTTACTACAATTTTGGAAATTAAAGGACATAGGCAATAAAAAATTAGTTTAGTTCATTTGAAAGAACTCTTAAAACTACATATTAAACTCTATTACAGATTGTTTATATCTTGCTTAGTTTTCAAAATATTTTGACTGAAAAAAGTGAGCTGTTCGCCATTTTGTATTATTGAGGATATGCATGTTACGTCAAGAGAGGGGTCACGCTAATTTTTTATCTTGAAAGTAAGCGATCAATATGCGTCCAAAACTTCGTTTCTGGTTGCTGTCAGAAATTTAGAAATGATTAAAAACATTTCAAACAATTTTGGATTGTTATTCGATCATCTTAGAGTAGTTTTATATGGTTAACCCAACTCCTGATGTCATCAAAACCATAGTTAATGAGGTAAAGAATTTTTTCAAGATGGCGGAAAGCTCATGAATTTCGGTCTAAATATTTCGAGAACTAAGCAAGATATGACAAATCGGTACTAGAGTTTAATATAAAATTTTAAGAGTTCTTTTGAATGAGAAAAACTATTTTTTTATTGCCAATGTCCTTTAATGATTAAATCTCAAAACTCAAGTGGCAATCAAAGTAACGAGCCAATGTGTCTCTTGCCAACACAATGCAAATTGGCATGTTTCAGTGAGCGTCACAGCCTCACAGGACAGCAGATAGTGGTCAATTTCAGAAATGTCGACACTTATCGGACCTTAAAATATCGGTGGGTCACAGACATAGTCCGACCCATTCGTGAAATTGTCCGACGTAGGGAGGAAACCACTGTAAATTCTGTCCGACCTAAGTGAAACTGAGGTTCATTGTTTGTCCGACCCGAGTGAATTGGTGTCCGACCTAACTGCAAATTTGTCCGACGTATACCAAAATGTACCCTAGTCCAGGACTAGAGGCTCGTATGTTAAATTGAGAATCAGAGTAATGTATAAAAAGTGAACTGGAAATTTGTAATAAAGTGCGGGGTTTTCATCGTGGGGTTTGGGAAATTAATTCATTGCCAAGATTCAAATGACTTTTCCAAATTGTGCTGATATTAATTTGTATCTGCATTCATACTTATTTCCAAGCCAAACTGAACTCAATGTCATCGGACATCACAATACATACGGCCGACTCAAAGTCATGGAACATTTTGTCAGACTGTTTTCTGACCGATATTTTAAGGCCATCTCTTGATCTTAATACTTTTACAGGTAAACTACGTGAAGCGTTCCTCTTTTGAGTTTCTAAATTGATTGCAATTTTCCTCATTACTTTTGCAATTTAAAAAACTCCCTTGCAAATCCCTTGAGGAAATTTGCAATGTTGCTAAAACCCAATTAAATTTTCCTCAGTTCCTGTTAGAAGTTCCTAACTTCCTGTTACAAGTTCCTAACTTCCTGTTCTGTTCTGTTCTGGGCGTTGCAATTGGCTAACAAAAATAATCGACCAATAACAACGCACAGAACAGAACAGGAAGTTAGGAAATTAAAACAGGAAGTCAGGAAAATTTAAAATGAAGTTTTTTTGCATTGGAATATTGCAACAGCCGATAGGAACATTGCAAATTCCCTCAAGAGATTTGCAAAAAGTTTTCAAATTTGCAAACCTAATGAGGAAAATTCCAAATGAGTTACGAAGTCAAAAGAGGAACACTTCACGTAGTTTACCTGTAACTGCTGCACGATGGTGTTTAGTGAAACACATCTATTACTGAGGGCCCATGAAACATCCTCCCTTGACGGCAAAATTGTGTAGCATAAAGGTCCAGATACACCGGACGCGATTCGACAACGCGACGCAATTTTTTAGTTTTTGAAAGTTAATAAAACAGCCAATGAGGGCAAATTTTGAAAGATATGTAGACCAAATAACTCAAAATGTTATAGCGCTTCTAAATATTTGGAAAATTTAAACTAGAATCAAAGTTATCGGTCATTGAAAATCGAAAAATCGCGTCGCGTTGTCGAATCGCGTCCGGTGTGTCTGGACCTTAAGACAGAGGAAAACAAAAAAGTAGGGCGCGATCGATACAACTTAATGGGTTAATCGAACTTAGTGGTGTCAAGTAACAATGTAAATGTGCTTCGTCACTGCGCTCGAGCACTATTTTTGAGAAGTCAGCATGTAACAAAGTAAACTTTTTCTTGAGTACTTTTACTTGGAACGAAGTTGTTTTAAGAAGTAACGTTTTACTTCGTTATTTTCATTTTGTGGCGAAGTATTTCGTTACTTTCTAACTTTCTAAAGGGCATATGACTCGAAAAGTGACGGTGTTATTTTTTAGTCTAATTGGAAAGATCATTGAAAACTGTAGAGTAACTTCTTTGACAGATTTTTGTTTTCTTGCTTCGTTTTGGAGATATTTCATATTGTATGATATGCAAAGGACCAACTTTCTACGTACGTCACATATGCATAATGACTTAGCTCTAAGAGCTGTATATCTTTCATGCGACTAAACGATATCATTAGAAAACCTATAGATGGGTGTTCTGTGGACAAATCTCGTGCTCATCATTCATTTTGTGCGAATTTATTTGATAGTGACAAAATTATATAACATTTTAAAGAAAGTTATTATGCATGTGTGACGTAGAAAGTTGGTCCTTTGCATATCATACAAAATGAAATATCTCCAAAACGAAGCAAGAAAACAAAAATCTGGCAAAGAAGTTACCCTACAGTTTTCAATTATCTTTCAAACTAGATTAAAATATAACACCGTCAATTCTCGAGTCATATGCCCTTTAATTTTACGTGATTTAATGTGGTTAAACGTAGATTTAAGCGAAGTTAACGGCAGATGTATCTAGCAGCGGGGAGCCCCTGACGTCACTTAGAACAGTTGCAATTATCGCGCATCCGTCACTTTGCTACAGCTTGGCTAGCCAGCTACAACTGCTCTTTCGCTCTGTTCCCCTTCGCCCTTTCCCCACCCTGGTTAATGTTTGTTGATACTCGGGTTAAGTTCTTTATTTTTGTTTTAGTTTTGTTTTTTGTTGTTTTGTTTTGGTTGTATCGGATTGTTTTTTTATTTGTTTTTCTTTATAGGATACAATCTATAGACTACTATAGAATGCGTCCTTTTTTCCACTGATCATCAGTGTGACAGGTGCCGGAGGTCTGCCTTGGCAGAATTGTCATGGCAAACTCCTATTGCTACTATAATTAGCCTTATTATTACGTTTTTTGCTGTTTTGCCATAGCTGTTTGCCATTGCTGTTTGCCAGTTTTGCCATTTGCCAGAAATGTTTGCCAGTGTTTTGCCTAATGTTTGCCATTGCGGTCATTTGCCCGACAAGGCTAGATCGCCGACTAGCCTTGGCCACCAACGGCACCTACCTCCAAACTCGGATACTCTGCCGTTAATTCCGGATTTATTTAATTTTGGGATAGGTAATAGGACCTCTAGTCTCTAGATGCGTCTGGGATCTCTCGTTTGTGGCTTACCAATAAGCATTATTTATTTAATGGATTTCTTATATTTTCAATGGAGTCTGAAAAGTAGGCCATGCTGTGAAATATTGTATATTAGGAGCATATAAATAATGTGTGTTCTGTTTGGTGTCTTTTGTATGCAAATTCATTGGAGAAGTCCCCCCCCCCCCTTACACGCTACAGACAATAGTACTTTACTTTTACTTTTTACTTCAAGTATCTTTTAAGGATACTTTGTACTTTTTACTTAAGTACGTTTTGCCTCTAGTACTTTTTACTCTTACTCAAGTCGTTTTATTGTTAATTACTTCTACTTTTACTCGAGTACAAATTCAAAGTAATTTAGGCACCACTGAATGCGAACTTACCTTTAGCCAACTCTAAGAAAAGCTCATCAACACCTTTGTTTAGTTTTGCTGAAGCTAACAAATGCTTTGCTCCCACTGATTTTGCATATCTGAAGAACAAAATATTCAAATACTGAATAAGTAAAATCATCTGGTATAATATTACAAACTAAAATAACAATGTAGGACATATTGTAGAGGTGTATGTACAGTACCACAGAATATCACAGTACAGTGGAACCCCGTTAATACGGTCACCAACGGGCCGAAATAATATGGCCGTAATTTCAATTGTGACATCATTAAAGCTATGTTTATTCGAAAATCACAATAACACCATACCCCACCATAATACCAATTAATAACTAAACATTATAAAGTTCAGATAAAGTTTTCACTAAATTTAAAGAAACAATGCAGCGAATGCAACGTCGCTAAAGAACCTTGTATTCTTTCTTTTCCTTTGCGCGACTGATAATAAAAATAAAAAAATTAGTAATATGATGCAACTTGAATTTTGTGTTTCACTGCACAAGGTGTCTTAAATTATACTGCATTTCCGTCCGTAAACACATTTATTTTTTTGAGTGACTGTATTAACGGGGTGATTTCTTTAGTTTGGGACTCTACAATATGGCCGTTGGCTGTATTAAAGGGGTGGCCGTATTAACCGGGTAACTTTGTTATAAAATGTATTAGTGTTTCGGCGGGACAAAAAAGTGACCGTATTATCGAGGTGACCGTATTAACGGGGTGGCCGTAAGGCGGGGTTGCACTGTACCACAGAATACCAGTTTTTTTATTTCTCTTATAAAATTTGAAGGAAACATGTTATATACTTTATTTTGTGAATATATATTAGTTTCAGCCTCAGTGGTCATATAAAAACAAAAATGGATATTTTCATAAAATTCTTAAAAACAATCGGGATAAATAAGTGTTATTTATCTAGCCTCGTGCTAGCCTGACCTGTGTCCCACCCACCCACCCTATTGGCAGGTTAGTGTGCTAACTAGAATTGGGTTTAGTCCAACACGTGATAATTAGTGAGTTGCAGTTTGTACGGATCCGTTTATTGTAAATATGAGATATTTTTGTTGATTAAAGGTCAGGCTGCCTTGCGTGTGCAGCATCCCTCAGCTGTGTGTGAGAACAAATAAAATTCCTTATTTTTGGTACTTTTTTCTGCTTAATGCCCGTCAACAGTTTTTCTAAGCGATACAACATTTTTACTATTCAGGAATCTCACTGAGTAATCAAATTTACTACCGGTATAAAAAACTCAATTTTTCAAAATTACTGGTAAACCTAATATACTATGGTACATACTACCGGTATTCTGTTGTGATTTTAGTGTTCACCTTCCACTAAATTAAGTTAGGAATATCTGTACTGTGTTATCACACAACATGACACACCAAATCCTTGTGCAATTTGATAAACCATTCCTTACTTATTGTGGTGCATTAGGATTTTATCCACGGAATGTCCAATTTAAAAAATAATAGAATCTGCCAAATCTAAACCCAAAACCCCACAGGAAGAAAAAAATGAAAAACTATAATAAAAAATATTTAAGAGACTATGTTATATGCAGTTGCCAAAAGATATGGAACATGTAAATTTATGTGGTATTCTGTGGTACATACACCTGTAAGACATATTGTACAGTAGCTGAAATTTAAAGTACTTACGCCTCTGCTTCGGCTCCGTCCACATGTCTGTCTCTCTCAAGGTCAATTTTATTTCCTGGAATGTTTTAATACATGGATAAAATTTGATATAGATTGATAATGTACTGCAACGTTATCATGATTCTAGAAATAAGAATTGAGACAAAGTTTATGCTTACCTACTATGCACAAACAGATATCATCTCCTAGTATCTTACGGAGCTCTTTCACCCAGTTTTTAACCTACAAAACAAAACAAATTCTTTGGACTTCAAATTCTTTGGACTTCGAGAAAAAATTGAGTTGCTTGGATATGGACTAAGGGGGTTCTTATATAGGGTTAACCTTCCGATCCTCCTGCAAGAACCTACCTCCTGTATATAGCTCATAGGTATCTTGATTAAATATTTTGATTGATTGATTGATTGAATTAAATTATCTGAATTATTGTCGATTTCATATTACTTTTCAAAGCGCAGTTCCCAAGTTTGTTGTCAACTTGCCAATTACGTTTCCAAATTCGGAAGTTGGGCGGGAACTTCACAACGAATTTCGCAAGTTCATTTCAAAGTTCCAACTTCAATTGTATACAAATGTACAAATTTCATTTATAAATTTATTTAAAAAGGCATTTTTCATCTTGGGAGACCACTGGACCAATATTTTACTGCAGTAATTTGTACATAGGGCCTTATACAGTAATTTCAACTCCAACTATGAACATTTGTTTACAATCAAAGTTCAAACTTTGAAATGAACTTGCGAACTTTGTTGCAAAGTTCCCGCCCAACTTCTAAATTTGGAAACGTAATTGGCAAGTTGACAACAAACTTGGGAACCGTGCTTTGAAAAGTAATATGAAATCGACAATAAAACCAAATATAAATTTAAATATTTAATACTTCAAAAAGTCAGGCAAATAGATATCTTGAAAATGTGCTCTGTCAAGCAGTAGGGGTAATTTAAAAATTCAAAACAGCCCAACAGCCTACTGTATATAAATGGTTATTGGTTTTTGACAGTGGTCGATCATGGCTGGAAATGGTTGTTGTGGGTGGTTAGGATCAGTTTCAAACATCAAAGTAATCATTTAAAATTTTCTTTAAAATATATTATACTTCAAAATAAGGTTTCCGTTTTTATATTAATTTTTAAAATAAGTTAGGGTTAGGTTAGGGTTTAGGATAGGGTTAGAATAGGGTTAGAATAGGGTTAGGGTGAGTATTAGGGTTAGGGTTTAGTTTTGTGTTAGGATAGTTTTTTCTACGTTATAAAGACGGAAACCTTATTTTGAAATATACTATCTAGCGATCACCTATTGAGTTAAACACCAAAGCAATAAGCTTTCTTTAGTCAAATACCTTTTGGAAAGAGTCTTCATCCGTAATGTCATACACCAATATTGCACCATTGCTAAATAAGGCAAAAATCAATAAATTATTGACTTAGCAATATCTTCAGTAAATATGAAAAAATAAATAATTCAGCTTTTGATGTTTTGGTACAGTAATTTCATTGCATTATAAATTGTTACTTCATGCGTTGTCTCACCTGTCTCGATAGTATATAGGTCCTAAAGCATGAAACCTCTCTTGTCCTGCGGTATCCTAAATTCAATATATAACATTTATATATTTTATATCATCACAGCCAAACAGAATTTAATCATCTACACTAATTTAATAATAAGCAAAAACATACCCAGATTGACAAACCGACTCGTTTCCCATCAATATTCAGTTTTTTGGTAAGATATGAAGCCTAGAAAATAAATGACAGAGGCACTACTAACCACTATACAAAACACTTTGCTGTCAAAGTGCTTTTAATCTTAGATTAATCTTTTCAAACACAAACCACACCAGCTTATTGTAGAGTACTACCTACACTGGACTATGTTTGAGATATATTTTTCAGGTAGTTCAGACACAAACCACGACAGCTTATTGTAGAATACTACCTACACTGAATCAACAACATTTGATGTTTCTTTTTCATGTAGTTCAGACACAAGCCATGATAGCTTATTGTTGAAATTATACTTATATTGACACTGGATCACCACGTTTGAGATATCGTTTTCACATAATTCAGACACAAACCATGACAGCTTATTGTAGGATACTACCTACACTGGACCACCACGTTTGAGATATCTTTTTCAGATAGTTCAGACACAAACAACATATAAACTGCAGCGCGGTGATCCAGTGGTGTGTCAGAAGATATCTTTTTCGGCTAGTTCAGACACAAACCACGGCAGCTCAAATTCTGCTTATGGGGGAGAGGCAAGCTCATTTATTCCCAAAACGCTTCCCTTTCAAGAGTAAAATCATCTGGCATCTGAATAACAAATTGGGTGGATTGCAGCCTATTAATCCCTATATGGCATTGTTGTTCAGTGGCCTCATTTAAATATTTTATTTTGATTAACCCAAGGAAACTATAAACTTTAAATGTTTTCCAATTACATGCATATACATATTACTAATTTTAAAATTTTGTTTTACAAAAGTTCACAAATTGCAACACAAGTCACTTAACTGTACAAAATTACGAAACAACTAGCTAGATAATTATGTAACGTGTTTCAAATGTATTTTAAAACACATTCATATTTTTAGCAGTTCAGGCGAATACAAATAATAAACTCACATAAAATACATCACATGCTTAAGCAAGCTTAAAACAACACACCTGTAAAGTTGTTAAATGTTTATCGTTAAATTTATCTTGACAATAACGAAGCACAAGTGAGGTTTTGCCAACGCATCCCTCGCCCAAAAGTACGATTTTAAATTGATATCTTCCAGCAACAGAGGCCATTATTTACGAATTCACGCTTTCACAAACATGAACCTTTAATGGAGAACACAATACGACGACCTAAAAGTTTACATGCGCAAAATTTATAACAAAAAATAGCGTTTTTTTCGGACTAGCCCAGCTCCATTTAATACACAATTTCGCACAAAATTCGAGGAAGTCCAAAATACGTCATATTTCGTAATATTCCGAATTAGACCGAAAATTGCCCGATAAATTCCGATCAACTTTTGAAATATGTAAAATAATAGCGTTAAAATGGGGAACGGGAATGCGGGAATGGGAGAATTTGGGAATGGGGAACGCGAAAATATTACTTCTTTTTACAAAGTTTGTCACAAGAAGAATACATAACAAATAACAAGCTTTCGTTGGTGGGGATGCAACTACCTGAAAAATATAAGGAGATATTTTTCAGGTAGTTGCAGGGGCGTAGGAAGCATAAAGAAGTTGGGGGCCCCCGGTTTCGAGGAACACTTTTAGAATGAAAAGGGCACCTAAAAAATTTTTCCCGGGAATGTTGGCGACGGGGGGAAGAAAAAATAAATGCAATCTTAAATCAAAGGCCATCGAGGCAAAAATCCAATCTGAACAACATTTTTCAACAGGAAAAAGGGCACTTTTGAAAACTTGGGGGCCTTGCCCCGGTTCCTACGCCCCTGGGTAGTTGCATCCCTACGAACGAAAGCTTGTTAATATCTTTGGCACTACTAGACATCTTGTCACTGCTACTATTATCATGTAATGACTGCATGTAATATATTGCATTTATTTCAGTTATAGTGATCGATACCGGATTCTCTTGACATGAACATATGCCGCTCAGGAATAATGTCCTCTCGTAAAATGTTCGTCTTATTTCGTCACATAATCGCAATTGGCCATTTTATACCACCAAGCATTTATCCAAAAATCAAATGCTAAAATAAAGGCGAGTTTGGGCCAAAATTTTTAGATTATTGTAACCTTAACCAACAACTTTTAACTAAATTTTGTGTATAACACAGTTTCTGATCGAAGGCGTTCGAAAATAATGCTGACGTCAGCACTTTTTATCTTTTAAGACGCTATAACTTAAGAGGAATTAATCCCTATAGATTCAAAATGTTTGGTGAACACTCGTAATAATGACATAAACAACATATAAAACTTCCGGTATTGTAACTGAAGTTCCTGGAAATTAGACGAAAACCTGCATCAGGCCCATTGTACATCAGTATGAAAACAAGGTTTGTGAAAAGAATTCCTTACAATATCACCGTTTTCTGTGCCATGGCATAACATGCACCAGGACAACCTCAAACGTTCTTTTTCCTGCAATTTCCTCAAATCTTGAGAAGTTGCAACAAGTTTATGTTTGTTATTTACTTATTGAATTTATCAGCCTGTATTTACTTGTCATATTGAATTTATCACAGCAAACTTGTTACCAGCAAGCTTGTTATTTGTCATATTAATCTTAACTATACTAACCAGTTACTGATAAGTTGTTTTCCTTTCTTTCTATTCATTTGTTCTTTCAAACTATGTAACCATCATTTTGTAAATATATATACCATAGATTTAGACAAATATGACAGAGATAATAAATTTATTGACCTCATGTTCAAGTTATTACAGAAAAAGATTAAATTAATATGAATAGCGTTTACAAATAATTGCGCAAGCAAATTAATTCGTCATACATGACAGTTGCAATTCTAGCACTCTAAAGGCCCATTTACACGATACGATTAGTTGTATACGATTGTCATTCTGACGAATGAAAACGAGTGCTAATGCCACGTTATTGCTCATTCGCTAATGGCGAAATTTGAAATGTGACGTTTGTACGCGTGTTTATTCGATCACATACGCCAGAGTAAGAATCGTATACAACTAATCGTACCGTGTAAATGGGCCTTAAGACCCTTAATTAACATAAGCACTCTAAGACCGAAGCACTCTAAGACCCTTAATTAACATAATTAGAATAATTAAACATGCAAATTGATAGCAGACAATTAAACAAACAATAAAAAACAAAACTAGACGCATGCAAATCTTATTGTTATATAACAGAAAGTTAGCCTTTTGCAAGCTAATAAATTGGCAATCCATTGGTATCAACGGTAATTTTGATGAATACCGTTTCATCTTTAATATACCCACCACGCGCACCATGTAGGATAGGTTTGGGCACAAACAATGGACATCCACTCGCAACATTCATCTTGCTTGTGGGCCTTTGGAAACTTGGGCTCTGTGGATCTGGTTGAAAGCTTTCAACGATATGCTGCTGATTTCCAGATTGATCGATCAACTTGAATGAAACTTTCTGCTGAAATGGCCAGGGTAGCAAGGCGTCATAATCACCACGCATCACAACAAAGAATAAAGACAAGTGGGTGCCCTCACCCATGCCATCTCCATTCAAATACACACGGACACATACCTAAACAACGAATTATACTGTTATACAATCTGTCCGCTATAATATACAGTTCAACGAAAAATACTCAAATTTATAAGGATTGTTTTAAATCTTTTTGTCAAATTTTGTTGAATAAACATTCTTAATTTTGAAGAATAACGCGCACGCCGTATTTCAGTACTAAAACAAACAACAGTAAAGGCCACGATTATTATATCTTTATTTTTTACTAAAATATCAGCGTTTAGATTCCTTTGTCGCCTAATTAAACACTTCCAAGATATTTCTTTGTTTTCAATAACAATAGAATTAATACGATAGTGAAAACGCAATTTCAATTGCATGCATTCCAAGTTTCCAAGTTAAAAAAAAAACACAGTTGCAAAGAATTTAAAAAGCGTGTGGACCACTTTCGTAAAACCTCTCAATCACGCAGTTTTCAAGGGAGGTAGAATACGCGACCCGCACGGATAGTGTCCGGGGGGATACTGTCAGGGGAAAGCCAATCCGATGAGCGATAGTCTCCGGTGCGACATACGGTCGGGGGAGGGGGGACAGTATCTGCTGTGACAGTGGCTTGCATTTGTTTTTAAGATCGTTAAAACTTAAAAGAATCAACCAGGCACTTGCAAACTATCTTGAAAACTCGTCTCGTCCATCGTTTGAAGTCATTACAATCGAACGTCTTGCTTCTATAATATTTTGGGGTGTATGGATGGTAGGGTATCTAATACGAGCACATCTCTAATACAGACACCTCTCTAGTATGAACACCGCTCTAACATGGATGTCTCTCTAAGCTGTACATCTTTCTTATACGGACACCTTTTTGATGTTTTGCGATGTTACTCTGAGTGTATATCCACACCGGGCAAGCTTGAAAAATATGCCTGGCCACGGTGGGAATCGAACCTACGACCTTTGCAGTACTAGCCCAATGCTCTGCCAACTAAGCTACGCGGTCAGGTCGGTTCGTGTATGTGATATTCGGAACTGAGTCTAGTTCCTTCGATATCAATGCAATCTAGTAATCATGATTTTTTGTCTGTGTTGGTGTTGTGTACTCAGGTGAATATGATGTTTTGCGATGTTACTCTGAGTGTATATCCACACAGGGCAAGCTTGAAAAATATGCCTGGCCACGGTGGGAATCGAACCTACGACCTTTGGAATACTACTCAGCTCCTCAGACTCAACTCCGAAATATCACATACTCGAACCGACCTGACCGCGTAGCTCAGTTGACTGAGCATTGGGCTAGTATTCCAAAGGTCGTAGGACAACACCTTTTTGATGTACAGCCATACCTACCTATATAATACGGACATTTCGATGTGTCCCTATATGATGTCCGTATTAGACATTTTCGACTATTAATATGAATGAATTATTAATGTAACCTTGTAGCCATTTCGACCAACATAGAAATATGGACTGTTGATAAACAAATTTCTTCCAGCAACAGCATCTTCCAACTGTCTTCCGAAATTCTTAATCTTCCAAAAGAAGATTCCATCATCGTATGTTGTCTCGGACATCGTAACTTCCTCATCAATGCGGGCCACCTGAGGACCACTCACCTGTAGATAAAATAAAGGGATTTCTCACTCTCAAACTCTCCCTAAACCTAAGCAAACCCTAATCCCAATCCTAACTCAAAGCCCGACGCCAGTTATGGCTAGGGGCCCAATTGAAAATCTTTCCAATGTAACTGCTATATCAAGGTCTATCAATATATGCATGATCTCAATATAAACTGTTATGCAGGTAAGCAAAATAAACTTGTTAATTTTCCATCCAAAATTCAATTGATTTGTCCTTGGCCTATTGCTATTAGCCGCCAAAATTTTAGTATTAATAATTAATATGTTTGATATTCTTAGTAACCCTGCTAGCAGACAAACACACACAAGTGAAAACATAACATCCTGACGGAGGTAAAAATGTGATGTCAGTTCAAGACACTTGTGGAGAGAATGTGTTATCTTTGCGAACGTTTTCTGACAATAAAATTATGGAGTGGAACAAAGGTAATCGAGCATTTAATCTTGGAGTTAACTGACTAACAACAGACATAAACATGTTTAGGTCCACAATTAGCCATAATTAGAAAAATACCTCCATAGTCGATGTTGGTTCTTTCTTAAACTGGCATTCCTCTATCATGTGCCCACCAAGGTTTCGTTTGGGCATTTTGACATTACATCCCTCATTGGGACATATCCCCAGGCAATCTTGATAGTGATCCTAAATAAAGTGGACAAAAAGTTGACCCATTCTGTTTGGAAGTGTCCCAAAGATAAACTTTTCAGAGAGGCCAGATTTTCAGGGGAGGTGTACACCTCTACTGAGATTTTATGCACCTCCCCTTAAAAAAAGTCAAATGATGGACATTATTAAGATCAATACTTGCAGGTAATATATAGAGAGGTTCAGATTTGACTTCCACTATCGCTACCTCTACCTCTACCTGGCTTAGTATACGCATCTGATTGGTTAATCGGATATATCAAACGCATCTGATTGGTTAATGGTCGCTTATGGTAGTGGAAGTCAAATCAGAACCTCCCTAAAATAAAATTCTTTAGTCTATAAAATTAAAAAAGTAATAACCATATATACTTGAGTCAATTACGCAATACCCTTTTACAGCAATTAATGTCTGATGATGCCTCATCCGCAGGCATCTCGTGGTTCACGTATACTTTACAAAGTCCGATAATCTAAAGGCGATGTTTGCGGAAAAGGCTAATATAAAACGTATAAAAATTTCCACTTGATAATTTCCATTTACAAGACCCTTGAACTATTAAATATCATTACAAACTCATCAGACCATATTCTTTTGTATTTCGTCGGTTTTTAACTCCCCCGTAATAACCTTCAGTCTAAAAGCAGGCGGTGGTATTTGATTTCTCCGGGGGAAATACGGGGTTGAAGGTTATTACGGAAAAATAATAACCGGGTAGCAGGTTATTACGGAAAAATAATAACCGGGTAGCAGGTTATTACGGAAAAATAATAACCGGGTAGCAGGTTATTACGGAAAAATAATAACCTGCTAGTCTGCTACCAGGTTATTATTTTTCCGTAATAACCTGCTACCAGGTTATTATTTTTCCGTAATAACCTGCTACCCGGGTTATTACGAAAAAATAATAACCAGTTACCTGGTTTTACATTTTCAATTCAAGACCTGGCATGAGTCTTGAATTCGGGACTTGAATTTGCAGGAAAACTCAAGACCCACATCTCCTTTTCGACTAGTAAACGTTGCACGTCTCTAAGTCGAGAAACAGACAACAGCCGTGTACCTCAGAGCCCGTCAAAACTCTACCATTAGGTAAGAGTATCTATCATTCGGCGCACGAGGACTAGCTGGATCAACCATCAAACATGCTTGTGCAGGGAATTTATACAGTAATATCTGCTCTTTTGCTTGTGGGACGTGAAATGATATACTGCGCATGCTTAACCACATTTTAAAGCGTGTTAATGCGCATGTTACACCTAGTTATTTCGTCCCACAACTGCAGCGACCTCTCACTGAATTAATATAGCTTGAATTTTTAATGAAGAAAACCTCCAAAATTCAAAAGAATATGGTCTGATGAGTATATAAACAAGTTAAAAGCCGCGGGTATCGGTTTTTATTAAACTGTAAAGACCTCGGGCCCTCGGTCTTCACAGTTTAATAAAAACCTCTCCCTTGGCTTTTAACCTATATATACAACAGTAACCTACGTTTATACGCACTATACATGCACGCTTGTGGCAAGTCCCCTCTCGCAAAAACGTTTGAAAGTCGAAAAGTTTTCGTAACTGTTCACTTGGGGCACGAAGGTTACCCCAGCGATCTGCCCAACGCCGTATAACCTCACAAGCAGTATTTACCCTAGCTTGCATATTCTAAACAAATCCAAACTCTTTCGTCCTTCGTTATAAACGAGGGCATATTTACAAAGAAACACGTGACTTTTCTTTCTTGGAACATTAGAACTTGATTTCCCAGGGACATTGAATATTTAGACTGAGTAAAACTTTTAATCAAAACAGCCTTTTAAATTAATATTCATGAATTTCCCAAACATCGTAAAATAAAAATGAAAAAGCATATCCATCCAATAAACATTAATATTTGTAACTTCAACTTCACTTCATTGAAACGAATACTTACAATAAAATGGTAACGGTTATGCATCAGTCAAATCCAAGCGTGCCCATACCCCACCCCCAACCCCACCCCACCCCCGGGCAAACCCCCAGGCTTTTGACAATTTTCGAAAATATGCGACAAATTCCTGGGGGCAGGGATAAAAAACATGTGAAAATGCCCCACGGCGGGGTAAAAAATCAGTAGCAAACCCCCCGACCATGGAGACAGCTGGACTGTTTGGCTAAGAAGAAGAGTAGGTTATCCAACTATCTGAAAATAAAGAGAATAGTTTCTTCGACGTTTCGAGCGAATGTCCTCTTATTATCAAGTATTGTGCGTCATACTCCGGCGTGTTTTGCTGTCGTCATGATCTAGTACTCTAGTGCATTTATTTTTAAAGTTTGCGGCGTGGTTCGAATTTATGCGTTTTTAAACTACAACTTTTAAACTACAGCTTGTAAAACCTCCAAATCTTTAATTTCAAATGCCTCGCCCCTGGGCAAAGTTTGAGTTCAAATGCTTGGCCCTCGGGACGTGCTTTACAGGAAAATGCGCCGCCGCAGTGGGATTGAGCACGCTTTGATTTGACTGGTGCATTATCACGTTAGTTTAATAGGATGTTTTTAGTTAATTCCCTACACTTCCAAAAATGTTTACTCAAGTTTAAACGCAGCTATCTTGGTCAATATTGTATTGTATTTGATAATAGTAAATATAATATAGTAAATATTGTATTTAATAATAGTAAATATTGTTGTAAATATAGATTTTTAGAATAGGTATAGTTATAAATAGTTGGTGTGATATTCGAAAGGATTTTACCGACTTAATAAATATAGATGTAGATGAAGTACACAGCATATATGCCTACAGTTGTTTAAGCATGGGACTGGTAATGAAATGACGTGATCTTGTCGAGTTGAAATTTTATCATGTCGGCAAAAATTTCATTTGACCGCGCAAGGTTTGTAATGCAATAACTTTTTTCCTTCGGTAAATATTTCTGAAATTTTGTATTTTAAAAGTATGGGTCATTTATTGCAATATATTCAATTTTTAAAAAATTCTATAATTTACAGTTTTTTTGTGGAACAAATTTTGCATATCTCAAAAACTGAATTTATAATCTCCTCTAATTTTTTGATATTCCCTTTACACCTACAAAATTTCAGAAACTTTGACTGAAGGAAATTTTAATAAATTCATTTTCAGTCCAGATCAGTTCAGATCTTTATCTGCTGTCGCTTAGGCCATATTGTTACCATAGCAACACATAATTTGGTTCTTTCGAACGATTAAAGATGCGGTACAGTCCGTATGTAAAGCTTGAAGTATGAAGATTACGCAAGTGTTTCCACTTCAAAAAAATCCCCATTTCACATAAATAGCAAATATTTTGCGTCGTTGTGAAGACCTTATTATTTACAACTGTAGGAAGCCACCTTAACTTAGACACTATTAAATGCGTGCAGTTTTCGTTGATATAAAATTGATATAAAATTAGGTTTCGTTGTTCACAAAAACATTTAGCAAAGAACAAAATATTACAGAACCATCCTCAAGGAAACATGACGAGAAAATTTCAAGATGACTTCTTACATTGTCAAAGTCAACTGCATGTAGTTGACTGCATAGCGCGGAATTTGAACTTGCATCTTTTCGAATGGCCAACATTTCCCGAACAGGCAACATGGGTAAATGTCCAAAAATCGTAGGAGCGTTTCATTTCCGAAAGCGGAAAGTTCACTTAAAAAATTGTCATTTGACAGCTAAAAGCTTGATGATCTTAGTATGAAGAAAGTAAATCTATAGACTTAATACCTAAATAACACATGATAACATACAAAGACTATATAGATTACCTTTCTTATAACTGTATAACATACCTCAAGAACACTTAACTGGCCAGTCCATTCACAACCAAGATTTTTATTTGTGCAAAAACATTGTAGCTTCAAGATTTCACTGTTGCAAGCAACATCTTCGTGAATTTGTTGAGGAGACAGTTCACGATTATCCAAGGGACACTTGAATTGGTCTCCACTAGATAAAATTTATAAGTTATTTTAACTGAAGAGGACCGTGTTAACATATGTGCAAGGATATGGGGAACATGTTGCAGAATACTTTCACAAAATACACAAGTCACAAAGTTGTGCATTTCTATAGAGTTTTAAACCCAACAGCCACAAGTACCTTAATGACCTTGAAGCACAAAGATTATATCACCTATGTTAATTTAACACTTGATAGCACAGTCATTAGCCGTTTATATCCTAGAGACGCATTATGCGTCTGGACGCATAATACGTCTTCTATATTATTCGTCTAGTATAAAGACGGGATGAATAATCCGACGAACTATCAGACGAATAGGTTAATAATTGCGCGACTGAAATGTAAAAAAGGCATAGGTACTAGATCTCATTTTGGCGGCAAAATTCAACAACAATGTTTGCGCTAGCCCGCGTGCAGGCCCAAGGGAAGTGATACATTGGGCCTGCACGCGGGCTATCACTTCCCTTGGGCCTGCACGCGGGCTATGTTCGCGCCGATTTTCTTCTTTGAAATCTTCTTCCAACATGATTTCTTCTAATTCAGTTGAAACCCCTTCGAATACAGTTTTATTAGCCGTTTTCTTGAGGGCAATCATATCAAGTCTGTATGCAAACTCGGTCTCTTCGTCCACAAGCACAAGGTATTTGAGTTTTGTTTCTGTCCATTGACAAAACGTTTGCTGCTTTTTTGATGTTGAAACAGCTGGGGACAGGGCCGTAGCGACCGGGGGGGGGGGGGTAACACCCCCTGATGATTGCTCATATGAGCAATTTCAGGTAAATTCAGGTAGATTTTCCAGAAGAAATTCTGGTAAATCAATGCAAATTCAGGTAATTCCTAGGACCAGAGAAAGTTAATTTACAAAAATAACTGTCAATTTGAAAAAAAATAAGGTATATTTACAAAAATGTTAGAAAATCCAAGAATTTTTTCAGAATTTTAGAAAAATTTGTTTGATAAACGGAGAAAATTTGTGATATCGGAAAAATTTTTAATGTGAAAAATTTGGATGTCTGGAAAAATTTTTTTACCCCTAAAATGGTACACAGACCGAATTTTTTTTGGCGACGGTGGGAGGGTTGTGGGGCAGTTCGCCGAAAATAATTTTCCGGGAAAAAAAATTTTCAGGTAAAATTCGAAAATTTGGTACTTTCAGGTAGATTTAACCAAACAGCCTCCCTGAAGCGAGTTCCTTGCGACGGCACTGGCTGGGGAAGCAGCCGAAACGTTATTTTCCTTAGCTGCCATGTTGAATTTTTAACGATAATTGTTGGCTTTTTGCATCACGGTCTCGCTTTGTTTGATTTAAGACATTATTATTATTATTATTATTATTTATATGCACAGACGCATTATGCGTCTAGACGAACTATCATTGGTTGTGCGTCTCTTAAGACAAAGAATCCAACATAATTTACTGAGACCAAGGGAAACAGTGTGTTTTGTGGACCCGAGACCACCGTTGTGGCAGACCTACTGTACCAACTCTCACGGATTTCCCGTGTGACTCACGAATTCAGGCATTATCTCACGGACTCACGGAAATATTTGGCAAATCTCACGGATTCACAATTTTGAAATTTTAACCACCACTAGACTTTAAAATTGGAGTGATTGATATGAAATAAAACTGGCTATTGACGGTAATTCTAATTTGTAAAAAATCCCCAACACTATTAGTGTTTATTTACTCATTACCAAGTGCTCCGCCATTTTGAATAACCTAGTGTATCGCCGGTGCAGAGCGGGAAATTTACTGCAAGAAAATGGCGGAAGCAGATCGAAACTTCTCAAATTGGCCAATGGGCTATTCCTGTTTTATATTCACATCATCTCACATTAAGGAACTTGATTTTTACACCCCCCACCCCCCATTTCCATGGTTGAAAATGCAGGTCAGTGGTTGAAAATCATCCTCCTTCCTCTGGAATTCCAAGGTTCCTCAACAGGGATGTGTGGGATAAAAATTGGAATAGTATCCCGAATTAGTAAGATACACTCGTGTAGACTAAGACCAGGTTGAATTTGTAAGTGAACTGTTGAGTTAAAGTTTTATTTTGGAGGACAGTAATTAAAAATTGCTATGTCACAGAACATAGATCAGTCATCTACAGGCAATGATTACAGTAACTGTCTCATCCAGAAATACCCCAGATTTTCAGTATTTTATCTCCAGAAATAAGAGATCAATCTCAAGAAATTTTCTATCAGATCTCTAGATTTGTTGCTGTTGGAGGTTGGCAGGTCTGCGGCGGTCGAGGGGCCACAAAACACACTGCTTTCCCGAGGTCTCAGTAAATAAGTGTTTTGTTATATAGTATATAAGTGTAAAAGTATGAATAATTCACCAGTTATTAGAGTGAACTTAATTTGAAACCAAAACTGGATAAATGGAACGCCGTAAACGTTTAGTAAAAAGTTTAAAAATAGGTACGCTAAGCGTACATGTATCTGCTCATGGTGATTGCACTGTTGCCAAGGGCTTCAATCAACACTCAGTAGCTTGTAAAAAAATTTAAGGGACTGATGTTTAACAGTTGACCAGTTAAATAAAGTTAGATTTATAGTATGTCAGATGAAAGAAAAATAAAATGGCTGATATATATTCAACTTGCAGAAACTAATTCCGGCCATAACTTCACAAAGATGATATTCAATTTTATGATGTTCTTGTTGAATCATCTTAGTTTTATAATTTTCTTGCAGGGATGGATCCAGCATGATCTGATACGGGGGGGGGGCTGCTCGGTCCGCTCTGGTGCCGAGTTGTGTCGGTCATGTGTGCCGCCCGCCCATCAACTTGCTTCACTATTGCAAAGTCTTGCTTGGCTACAGTATTTGAGTTGTTCACAGTTTGCCTATCATCATATTATTACTCAAATTTCTGTATCTCATTTTGTCTCTAATAATTTTTGCTTATCATGAAAAATAGGACACCCCTCCTGCACCCCCTCTGGCCAAGGCTTGGGGGGGGAGGGTGCACACCCCCCGCATCCCCCCCAGTAAATCCATCCCTGTGTTCTTGTTAAAACATTTCGGGTTCCAAATCTTCTTGATAGTTCATAATAAACTTTAGCAGGCATGCAAGAACGTTGTAGATGCATAGAAGTTGTCAGGATAACAGGTGGTGCCAATATACATTTGCAGAGTTTTGAAAGCCTTTTTATACCATAATTGATACATAACATCAACATTTCTGCTGTTTATAATTGATCTATTTCATTTCAGAAAATGTCAGTCAGGGTTCATGTATGGCACACAAATATATAGATAAAATATATGACCTATTTGATATATATATAAATATATCAAATAGGTCATATATTGAAAGTCATTCATCAGCAACAAATGGTGACAAGTATGGAAATTAGAAGTATAATCGATGCATATAGTTCTTGAATAGAATGATATAATTCAGCATACCAGATCCATGCAATATTTTGTCGTGGAAGAAAATCCACTAAACAGAATATTATGTTAGTTTTGTACATTTTGTGCTATAAATAAGATCCCATTATGACATATGGTTGTTGTTGATTATAAGACAATATAGTATAGGATAGGGGATATAAATTGCTTGCCTGGTGTTCTTGGCAATGACATTCAGTTGCAGAAATCAGGGTGGATGAAGAAGGGAGCACCCCCTCCAGGATATATAGTTATATGCTGCAAGTTGATAATTATGACTGGTTGCAACTGTTACTATAAGTATTTATATTCCAATCTAAAACGGAATCTCTGCTCTTTATGCAGCCACTATTACTTTGGCTTTTCTTTAATGAAAGCAATTGTTCAATGCACATACTGCTATAAAGTGCTTTAAGAGAAATGTTTCCAATATGTGTGACTTAGCTTCTGACTCTGCTAAATTTGTATAAAAATGATCTATCAAAGTCTGTAATGAAAGCAGACACCAATTGTCTATAGTTATGATAATTGATAAAGAAATTATGTAACCTTACGAAATTATATAGCCTTCTATTGGTTTCATTCAACTAATTTATATTAACTAAAGTCACCAACGAAAATGTTAAATTGAGAAGTACATAAACATCAACACTTACAACTCGATATACACCTACAACGGCAACATGTGGAAGAATCATTACTTTCATAGTTTCATAATAGTATTCTCAATGCCATTAGTCAATAATTTTCTAGTCAAAAATTGCGAATCATTTCGTTTCCACTGCGTATTAAATGATGAAATGCACTATCGACATTTGCCATATTCAGACTAGTAAAATGACTTTGTTTTAAACCGCGTTTGATGTACAATGTAAATCGTAAATTCACAAATTGCCTTTTGTTTCACCCTTTAGTAAACCGCCATTTTGAAATTTGTATCATTACGTCATTTCATCTATACGCTGTCGTTGATTGGCTATGAGCACGCTTACAAACTTCCGGTACGCGCACGATGGCAATAAATCTGCTTCGCAGATACAAAAATATAAAAAATGAACTTTGGAATTTCATGGTTGACACCAGGGTCTTAGCTAGGATTTTAGAACTTGGGCGTGTTTCTAAATGACCAGGGTGTGCACATGTCAATTACCTCAAATAGCCAAATTCGCGGTTCTAGTTATGGTCGCCAACAACAGACCATACCTGTGGTTGTTCTATGCTTTGCAACCAAATACAAGGAGAGCATACGCTCATATTACGCACTGACATTAAAATATTAAGTTTTTTCAGCAACTCTTGGGGGGTATTTAAAACCATTGTAACACCATACAGTTCCCATTATCCACCAAAACATTAAAACATCACATGCAGATCACTTTCGCCAATTTCAACAATAACCGTAGATTTTACAAACTTTCTTACAACGTACAGTGAATAGGAAGAAATTCTGTCTGTTATTTTATGAACCTACACAGCCTTATATAAATAATGAAACCGCATTCATTTTATCTAGCCGTGTTTTTCCCTTATTGGCCGCGATAACATGGCCAACACGGCCCTCTGGCTAAGACCCTGGTTGTGTGACACGCATGCATATTGCACCCATTTTATTATTGACCGGTCAATAAATGTTTCATTGTGGACCGATTGCCGAACATGACATTTTGTGGACCGGCACGTGACACGGTTTTGACCAATCGGCAAACAGAAAAATTGAACTTTGACACTAACTATATAACAATATAAGTTATATACTGTATGTTTATATTTCTTTCTGTTCACGGTATAGTTTACAGCAATTACAGGTACAATACATGCTACAGTATTGCTAAAACATCAAATGTCATCTCATCTGTAGATAAGCCCCCAAGCCCCTCCCCAATATCTGAATATGTATAACCATCAAAAAAATAGGTACGCACTGCGTACATGTGGCTAGCCTACTCAGCCTGGTCGAATACAGCCGGACTTCACATTGTCATGAACATTCATCACAAACATTCATTTTGATACAAAATTAATCATTACAATAGAACAATGGTCAAAATAAAACAGATGCAGTATCTTTCTTACAATGCCAACAAATGGTTAGAATCACTTGATTTAAAAGCAACATGGTTTTGCTTTAATAATGATATAATACATACAGCAACTAATAATGTCAATTTTATTTTGTTTTTCAAAATTGCACTAATATGTAATTCACTAAGATTTCATTACACCGGTTTCTTGTTACAGATATATTCTGTTGTCTGGTTTACAAGTTATTAGCTTTTCTTGAATTGCTGGCATTGCAGATTTCATAAAACCTTTAAATTCAAAGTTCTTCATTTAACATAATGTATTTAATAATATATTATATTATATTTTTAAACATTTTTATTTATTGTAAGATCTAACAGCATCGGAATTTATAATGAACTCATCAAATCAATTATGTCATCACCGACACCACTAACTTGTATTGCCCTGACACTTGTGCAAATATCCTGATCTTCCTATATTATCCAATATTATCACCAGTCACCATATTATCAGCAAATTGATCAGAATATGTGTTCACTTAGTTGTTTGAAGTACTGTAGATGCCATGCATCACTATGATTTTGAATTGTGCTTTCATCTGCAAATTGTTTAAAATTAAGAACCAAATATTTACTGGCAGCTCACAAGACTGACACATTGTAAATGATGCAGGTATAAATTTAACCCATTAAGCAGCAGAGCTTCCCCATTGATGGGTAAAATCGTCTGGCGTTAGACAAGTAAAAGAAATAAGTAGGGTGCACTGGGGCACATTGCAGCTCATTGGGTTAAACAACATTTAACTGTGGGAATAAGAGTATGAACATGCTACTCAATTGACACTGCTGTTATTAAGTGCTGAAAAGAAATGTTGAAACGTGTCGATATGACCTCATCACATGGCTGTGGGTTTTCTTCTTCATATATACCCTTGTAACTGCAAGGGTCAGTGTTGTATGGTGATTGCACTAATGTTCAGAGATGTAGCAAAGCATCTGAAGTTTGGAGTGGGGGGTGGGGTGCCGGATGTCAAATGGTCATCATTTTACAAAAATAACGACTTTGTTACACAAAGTTTACCTGAAAATGTCAAAATTTACAATGTACATGAGTTTTACCTGAGTTTCACAGTTGTGGGGTTTACAACCCCCCCCCCACACACACACACACACACACACACACACACGCCCGTGTCTCTACGTCCCTGCTGATCCTAGATCAGATATATGTTATTTACATCTGGACTAGATATCCAAAAATAAACTGCACCTACAGTTGCATTTCCTGGTTTAATAGGTCTAATGAATGTAAAATAATACATTTTCACTCAATTACTTCCATCTAGAAGATCCTTCAACTGTATGTAAACAGACTGAGCTTCCAGGCTAGTGACTACAATAGACTATATTAGCATAAACTCATAAAATAGTCCCGCCTGTTTTCTGTGTTAATTGTAGTTTTATACCTGCAAGTGGATAGGGCGGTTTTAGTATCGTTGTAAAATATGTAAACAATGGGCTTGCTTCTTATAAATTTACCCACATAATGGATAAAAATTCAAGATCTGTGCAAGAACGTTTGATTATAAACAGGATTATAAACTCACTATATAAAGCTTTATATCAAGCGTGATCAAAATCTCCTTGATTTCTCCTAACTTACCTTTTGTAGAACTTCTCTTATCGTTCGCAAAATTTTCATATTTTTTTAAACAGCAGCTGTCGAAAAGACCTCAAAACGAAAATATTTGTTTGCATGAAATCACAGAGATGAAATGTTTATCAGGCATGAAGTTCAAAAATTTCCGATGAAAACCGAAATAACCGATCGTCAAACTGTCGGGCCTCATCACTTCCGCCAAATTTCCGATGATAACCGAAACCACGAAACAAACGATCGCCATACTGTCGGCCTCACTTCCGCTCACGATAATTTCACGACAATCCGGACAGACATCGTTGACCGACCACCACCGCTCATCCCGTATCATAGTGGCTAGCCCGCGAAGGGCTAGCCACAAAAACGCTTACGGAATCAATTTTATATTCGGATTGGTTTTAATACGATCATATACGATATACCCTTCGTCTTTCAAAATTATTGTCAAACTTTGTTATGGTTTTAATAGAACTATATTAAAAATGCAGTGTAACTTTCACAAATTTCATTCTATTTTTGCAAACACTGAGTTCTGCCTATTGAATGATAGAATGTGGAAAGTTTTATGATCTGGAAAGTTTTTACAATCCGTCATATATTTAAACCATCCTTTCATAATCCTTGCTCTTTTTGTCTGATTTGTATCAGAAATGTGCCAAACAAGGATTTTTATCGCTATTTGTTGTATTTCAGTAAAATGAAAACAATAACAAAAGCCCGCAATGCATGACCCTGACACTATATTGTAAAATCCTCACTTACATTTTGAGTTGTTTAATACAATCTTCGCAATAACGATGGCCACAGTCAGTCTGAAAGGATCTTCGCAACAGATGAATACCAATCGGACATCTCAATCTAGCATCCAATGGATAGACAAATCGAATGTTGTAGCCACGACCTTGGCGGAAACAGGCCATGTTGTAAAATGATTCTTCATAATGTTGACCGCCATTTTTGCGTAGTTAAAATTTAAGTTAACTCACGGTCTATTAACCTCGTGCATAGGCCAGATGATCTTGATACGCGGAAAAGTACTGGCACTAGTTGTCAAATAGAAATCCATTTTATGATTAAAACAACTGAATATCTCCTGTAATATACTTTATTTCGATTCCATATTTTTGTCAGAGCTATAGTTCTCATAAGCAAACATAATTACAAAATGTCAACTAGTTTCATAAAGAATAACGAAAGATATAATTGACTGAATACATCAAAATGGATTTCCATTCGGACAACCCTTTCTGAGCGCTGATTGGCTAAAATACGAACACGAGATCACCTGGTATGTTGTAAAGTCTCGACTCACAATCAAATTTTCTAATTCCTTAGAAAAAGCTCGAAAATTCCTCAGATTTCCTTAAAATTCCTTAAATTGGTAAGATTACTACAAGACCTGATCACATAGTTGCAAATACCCTGCTAGCAGAGTCACAGAATAGATATAGAGGCAGAGTATCCTTTACACGGGCCACGGCGGAGGGAATATCCTTTCCCTCCGCCGTGAAAAGGATACTCTGCTAGCAGGGTAAGTTGCAAAGTGTTCTTTTTCTCCTTTTTTGCTGCTTTTCAGTTTTTCAACCTTGTTTTTAGAAACACTAAAAACTAAAAAGCACTAAAATCTGAAAACATTTCATTGTAATAGCATAATGCCATAAAGAAAACATTCAACATGATGTATTTTTGATCGTTGCTGCATGAAGAGCTTAGAAAATCTGTAGATTTCAGAAGAAACAGCATATACTGACATTAGTATTCACTTTCGAGAATTTTAATGGAAAGACAGTCATATATACATTCATGACATAGAGAACATACGAATATATGTAATTATGTGCGTATAATGCATAGAAATTTTATTGTATAATGTTATATTATTTCTATGCTATTATTTCTGTGGTATAATGTTGCTACTTTCAAGTTTAAATCTCATTTGCGTAGTGGATAATTCCTTAAAAGTGAGAGCACCGACCACTTATTAACCACTTATTAACCACTTATAACCACTTATAAACCACTTATTTTTTAGTTTTTAATCTTAGATGACGCATAAGGATGACGTCATAAACCGAATGTTTCCGAAGTATAACCGAAGATGGTTCGGACTTTTCCGATCACGTCCGATGAAATAACCACCAAAATTTCGAATTATTTTGCGACCAAAAGGGAAAAGACGGAAATCCGTCGCTTGTGTCCCGCACATGTTTGGATTGTCAAAGTATACAACTTTTATAAAGAAAATTAAATCAAAATTTAAAAAAAAATGGTAAGGAAATAAAGCTTTCAAACACGTTAGAAATATAGTATAGATAATCATATTTCTGTACCTAAAATTATAGCGAAATCGTACGTGTATTTGTGAAGTTTTGTACTTTTGAATCTGGGTCTCTTGAGAACTCGTATTTTGTGTTTGAAGGTTTCCTTGAATCCTGTACAAATATTCAAAGCCGGTGCGGACGAGGAGAAGGCAGAGACAGCTAGACTGGTATGTTTTGTGCTTAAATATTTTGATGTTTATATTTTTGTTTATTCCTTGTGTATATATAGTAAATATAGCATGCAAGGGACAGCGGACACCTTAAGATAATTAAACTACACCCATGGAGTAACCAGGGTTTTCTACCAGCCCATCTTATGAAGTAGTAGGCTATCGTAAACCTCCGAATACTAGCCCAAATATAAGCATACCATATTCACTAACACTCAGGCCATTCTGAATATAATCCCCTGTGTAAGCCCTGGAGATATCCCAGGGTGCATTCCATGTGAACACTATGCCAAAGATATGCCAATATTAACTATAGATAGTATTGTAATTTGCCAAACTTATGCCGAATTTCAGCGTATTGCACTTAAAATGGACCCTGGGAGATATCCCAACTTTGGTCAGAGTCCTCAATGATTCTTTCCAGTTGTGGGTCAAACTTATGATCCCAGAAGATTGGGTCATTCCAGAAAACATCCATACCACCCCCATGAAGGAAATAGGAACTACCCCCCCTACCCCCTTTGGATGTCCTAATACATTTACTATTATCAGAAACAATTTTTTCTCCCCTCCCCCTCCGGACGGCAGAAATTTCCTCCGTGGGGGGAGTATGGATCTTTTCTGGAACAACCCATTGCTCAGATGTGTGACACTGTGTGACTGAACTAAAATTACAAAACAGTAACTAAAACAATAAAATTATAATTAGTAATGAACCTTTTGTTGCATAATTAGTCATCGTTTGTTGGTGCTATTGCAATTGGCGATCTCGTTAAAAGCACTCTGGGACCCAAAGGCATGGTAAGTCCAAACATGTTTGTTATGAATGAAAAGTACATTGTATCTTAATTATGTGGCTGTTTAGATGGAAGCCGGTTGGGCCCGCTTAGCAAGACAGCCCAGTAAACGAGATCTAGCTCGCTGTGTAGATATTTTTATAGTAAGAATTACTGTTTGTTTATATGGACAAGCGTGCTGGCCCGGTTGCTGAGATCTGAACAAGCCAAGATCTCGCTTAATGGGATGAAAATTTCTCCATATAAACACTCACAAGCAGGCTAGCCCGGTTAAAAGAATTCATCCTGCCTACCGGGTCAGCCTGGTTTCCATATAAACAATTCCCTAAGTCTGTTGCCATGGCTTGTGTCTGAACTGAACTTTTTAAGCGAATGGCTCTTGAATGCCATGAGGTTAGAATTTTTTAACTATATTGTTCTACTTTCACCAGGACAAAATCTTACAGTCTCTCGGTCAGAATTGCGATATCCAAGTCACAAATGATGGAGCAACAATCTTGAAATCTATCAGTATTGATAACCCTGCTGCCAAAGTTTTAGTGGGTAATTAGTGACAAACAGTACTTAATTCATATCAAGTACGCACATAAAAATCTCACAACTTGTCAAAAAGCTAGCAAGCTTGTCAACAAGTTCTAAAAACACCGTTATTTTATCAAATTGCTACATGGTTGTCACTCACAACTTGTGACAAATTGTTGAATTGCAAGATGATAACAAGTTGTTGGAACAACTTGTGACAAGTCTGTTGAGTTGAACAACCTTGTAGCAAGTTGTCAGTTCAAGCTGTAAATGTGAACATGTCCGAGGTTTACCACCTTGGCTATTCTCTTCTAGTGCTTATTGAAATCCAACAATTTGTCAGGTAAATATTTGTGCTAAACGTGATGTCAATTTGCAGATATTTCCAAAGTTCAAGATGACGAAGTTGGAGATGGCACGACCAGTGTGGTTGTGTTAGCTTGTGAACTTCTAAGGGTAATAACATTTCATCCCAATATTGTTGAATTCAAGAGGTGAACAGTCGCAGATGAAACATTGTCCACCTGGAAGATTTGACCTCAACAGATTTAGCCACAATCATTCAAGCTAATCAAAACCTACAAATAATTGTTACAAAATTGAACTTTCGCATGAGAATAGACAAGTTTTTTCTACAACTGTTCAGAACAGTTGTAGAACTGTTCATCTTTACATTTGCATGACCATATTATACAGAGCAATGATGAGAAACATGAATGCCGAATCATTTCCAACTGATATGTGGCAAGTTCTACATGATCTGAGCTCTGAAATTTATTCGATTAATTCGAAATGTATTTTTGAGACATACATTGGCAGACCTCAAAATATCAGAGCATAGCAACCTTGTTCTGGGTAGAGTCTTTCCTCTTGGCCAGGGGAGAAAATCCAAGATGAAAATCAATAAATACTTGATATTTGGAGGATTTTTATAGTTTAATTTATACAGTAGGTACACTGCATTGTAGAGATTGTGATAGGTAATTACATAATAAACAAAATCCAACACTAACCCTTTTAACACTCTGAAATTTTTTTCTTCCCTTGGGAGTTCAAGGGGTTGTACTGTATGGAGAACCCCCCCCCCCCCGTCAGATTAACCTAAACCTACATTTCTCCTTCTAGGAAGCAGAGAAGTTAACATCGTCAAAATTTCATCCCCAGACGACTATCCTGGGATGGCGCAAGGCTGTGAAAACAGCACAAGCCGCACTGGAGCAATCCGCTGTAGACCACGGCAAGGATGATGCCAAGTTTCGAGAAGATCTGATGAATATTGCCAAGACCACTTTAAGTTCAAAAATCTTGGTCCACCAGAAAGATCATTTTGCCAAACTTGCTGTTGATGCTGTACTGAGATTAAAGGTGTTGTGTTTGGATATTTTGTCCAGTACTACCTTTTGCATATGTATTATTATACAGGGGGGATCTAGCCTCTTCTGCAAGAAGGGGTGCAAGTTTTCCATGGGGTGGTGCATGAGGGAACCATACAGCCCACTCTCCTCTGCAGTCTGGAACGATACCATCTCAAAATTACCATTATTTGAGATGGCCGAATCTGCATGTTCGCCGTTCTATTACGTTTTACTGCACATTATTTTTTTGTTTATATCGGCTTTTTATCACGTATGCATGACTGGACAGTTGCTGTAGCACAGTACAGTAAATTTTCTTGTTAAAGTACAGTATATTTATGGCTGCATAACAACCTGGACAATGGACATGCATGTTTACATATTTAACCATGATATTGAACTAAAACCATTCTGTATTTTTTCGTGCATGAGCTCACAAATCAATTAAATCATTACAAGAAATTGACACGCGCTAACAGTAGAAGTTCCGCTATTTGAAAAGCAGAACAAATGTATGGTCAAGCATATTTTTTAGATGCACATTTAAAAACAAAGAATTGAATTTTGTAGGGAAGTGGAAACCTAGAAGCAATTCAAATCATTAAGAAACTTGGTGGCAATCTGGGTGACTCGTATTTAGACGAAGGTTTTCTGCTTGATAAGAAGATTGGCGTTAACCAACCAAAGCGAATGGAAAATGTTAAAATATTGATTGCAAATACATCTATGGATGCCGATAAAATAAAGGTTATATCAGTGTTTGAGTGGACGTCTAGGAAAAACAGTTTAGAACTGATAGAGCTATCCAGTATAAATAAAGTTAGTTTAGTTTAGGTTTCCTCCTTTAGTAACACTGGATCAATAAGAGATGATCCTTACTGGACCTCTAGGAAGAACAGTTAAGAACTGGTAGAGCTATCCAGTATAAATAAAGTTAGTTTAGTTTAGGTTTCCTCCTTTAGTAACACTGGATCAATAAGAGATTACTCTTACTGGATCACTAGGAAGAACAGTTAAGAACTGATAGAGCTATCCAGTATAAATAAAGTTACTTTAGTTCAGATTACCATAGTATATAATATGATAGGTTGATTGACTACAAGTATAATGTAAATTCCAGGTTTTTGGTTCAAGAGTACGGGTCGATTCTACAGCAAAAATTGCCCAGTTAGAACTGGCTGAAAAGGTAGCTATATAACTTTGAGATTTGATTTTCATTTACGATTTGATTTTTGATAATAATAAATTTTTTTTCCACCATTTTTTCCATTTTTTAGGAAAAAATGAAAGATAAAGTTCAAAATATTTTAAAACATGATATAAACTGTTTCATAAACAGGTTCGTTTGTGAACGTAACTTCGACGTAATCAAATTTATTTTAAAATACCATCTTAGAATTTTATTCGTAGGTTTGATTAACCCATAAGTGGCAATGCTTCCTGATGCGCTCTACTTTATTATTTTGCTCTGTCCAACGCCAGACAATTTTACTCTTCTGGAAAGGGAGGGGTCTGCTACTCGATGGGTTGAACCCTAATTTCATTATTTTCATTCCTAGGCAACTTATATACAACTATCCTGAGCAGTTATTTGCAGATGCAGGAGTGATTGCAATAGAGCATGCTGATTTTGAGGGAGTGGAGCGCTTGGCTCTTGTCTTAGGTTCAGAAATTGTTTCAACCTTTGGAAAACCTGAACTGGTTAAACTTGGTCATTGTAAACTCATTGAAGAGGTTATGATTGGAGAAGATCAGGTTAGTGATGGTGATGATGATGATGATGGTGGTGATAATGATGGTGATGGTGATGATGGTGGTGGTGATGATGATGATGATGATGATGATGATGATGATGATGGTGGTGGTGATGATGATGGTGATGATGGTGATGATGGTGGTGATGATGATGATGATGATGATGATGATGGTGATGGTGATGGTGATGATGATGATGGTGGTGATGAAGATGATGGTGATGATGGTGGTGGTGATGATGATGATGATGATGATAATGATGATGGTGGTGGTGATGATGATGGTGATGATGGTGATGATAGTGGTGATGATGATGATGATGATGATGATGATGATGGTGGTGGTGATGATGATGGTGATGATGGTGGTGGTGATGATGATGATGGTGGTGGTGATGAAGATGATGGTGATGATGGTGGTGGTGATGATGATGGTGATGATGGTGGTGGTGATGATGGTGGTGGTGATGATGATGATGGTGGTGATGAAGATGATGGTGATGATGGTGGTGGTGATGATGATGATGGTGGTGGTGATGAAGATGATGGTGATGATGGTGGTGGTGATGATGATGGTGATAATGGTGGTGGTGATGATGGTGGTGGTGATGATGATGATGGTGGTGATGAAGATGATGGTGATGATGGTGGTGGTGATGGTGATGATAGTGGTGATGATGGTGGTGGTGATGATGGTGGTGATGATGATGGTGGTGATGATGGTGGTGGTGATGATGGTGGTGATGATGGTGGTGGTGATGATGGTGGTGATGATGATTGTAGTGAGGATTGTGATGGTTGTGCTGACAATATTTGTTTAAATTATTAGTTTAATATATCATTTTAGTTAATCCATTTCTCTGGTTGTGCTCTGAACGAGGCATGCACAATCGTAATACGTGGAGCTACGCAACAGATTTTGGAAGAGGCAGAACGCTCGCTTCACGATGCTTTGTGCGTCCTAACACAAACTGTCAAAGAAACTCGAACGGTATTTGGCGGAGGTAGGGCACTCATGAACATTGACTGCATTTATAAATACACACGGATTCGTTCTGACAAAATTGGACAATGAAAGATAGTCCCCGCCTGTGAATAAAGACAATACGAACTACAGACAACAAGCCGTCAACAAGTTGTGTTCGCATTGCTTGTCCCAAATTGTCAACAAGTTTGGAACAAGCTGTTAACAACTTGTAACTTGTTGATATTATCAGACTTGTTGCAAGGTTGTTCCAACAATTCCGATACAGTCATGGTATAACAATATTAGGGCCATTTATACGGGACAAAATAAGACGCGACTTACATAAGACGCGACTTAAATAAGACGCGAGTTTGTCGTATAAAAGGTACAAAATTCTTATGTAACTAAGAACAGGACTTTTAGCTGTTTTTATTTAAGTCGCACCTTAAATAAGAAATTTTAGACAAAAATTGTAACTACACATGCCCGAAACTTGAAACAACGTAAAATTATTAGCCTTGCATATTCGAACAAAAACAACCGAAACAACATTATAGCTATAGCAAGTAAATAAGAATAAATCCGTAGAGAACCATTTATGCGATAACTCAGCTTATATAAGACGCGTCTTATGTAAGACGCGACTTATTTTGTCCCGTATAAATGGCCCTAATGTTACAACCTTGTGTGGTCAACCTTGTAACATTCTTGTTATATCATGACTATATCAGACTTGTTAGAAGTCTGATAATGCCTTCTCAAATTCATTAATAATTCATGAGTAATTCAGCCAATGTTAATCACCTATTTGATCACAAGATGCCATTTGGATACTTGATGAAAGTCACTAGTGTTTTCATCAAATATCTTAATTACGCATGCAAAATTACTTAAATAGAATTCCTAATTACGTTATGCTTGGTTAAGAATTCTATTCAAATCAGCAAACGAAAACATTCTGTTACGTCTCGATTCATTTGAGAAGCCATATAAACAACTCGAGCTCGTGTCTCACCGGGATATCAAACACTCGAAAACAATGTATGAAAACACTCGCGCTTCGCGCTCGTGTTTTCATACATTGCTTTCTCGTGTTTGGATATCCCGGTGAAACACTCGCTCTCGTTGTTCATATATTACATCAAGCTTGTTACAAGTTGTTAGTAGCTTGTTTCAAACTTGTTACAACAACTGGGAACAAGCAGTGCGAACACAACTTGTTGACAGATTTTGTAACAACTTATTTGCAGACCTGTAGCAACTTGTCAACAAGTTGTAACAATGTTGTTATTTTATCAAGTTGCTACAAGGTTGTCATTCACAACTTGATGACAAATTGTTGAATTGCAGAACGATAACAAGTTGTTGCAACAACCTGTAACAAGTCTGTTGAGCTCAACAACCTTGTACCAAGTTAGCCGTTGACAACTTGTCAACAAGCTGGGAACACGCAGTGCGTACACATCCTGTTGACAAGTTGTTTTGTTATAACTTGTGCGTTCTTAAAAGCATAACAAATTTTGGTCATTTTCCAGGTGCTTCCGAAATGCTTATGGCAAAAGCTGTCAGTCATTTGGGGTCGAAAACGCCAGGAAAAGAGTCGATAGCTATTGAGAGCTTTGCCAACGCTTTAAGACAGGTAAACATGTGCAATTTATAATTGTTAATAACTGAGAGCGGGGCGGATTTAGCCCCATTTGCAAGGAGGGGTGCAGGTTTTCTATGGGGTGGTGCACGAGGGAGCCTTACTGCCCAATCTCCTCTGCAGTCTGCAACACTACGTCCCAACATTACCATTATCTAGCCTCCTCTGCAGGCATCTCGTGGTTCACTACAAAGTCGGCGAGATGCCCGCCAATCTAAAGGCGATACCTGCGGAGAATGCTAACCATTATCTGAGATGGCCGAATCTGCAATCGCCGTTCTGTCACGTTTCACATTATCTTTTGTTTATAAAGTTTATATCTGCTTTTTATCATGTATGCGTGACTGGACAGTATAACAAACTCGACATGTTTAACCATGATATTTTAGAGTATTTTCTCGTGAGATCACAAATTGTTTCATCGTTTCAAGAAATCGACACGCGCTAACAGTAGAAGTTCCGCTAATCGCTAGTCGAAAAGCAGAAAATGTATGATCAAGCAGATTTTTTACGGTGGTGGTGAAGTGTGTGTATTTCTTCACGTATAGATTCCCATTATAATTGCTGATAATGCAGGCTATGACAGTGCACACTTGGTTTCTCAATTGAGGGCAAAACACAGCGATGGAGAAAATCGATATGGCTTAGGTATGACTCCAGTGACTTGCTTTTAACCCTGCCTCCTCCGCAGGCCCTCGTTGCGTCATGGGAAGGTCACAATCTGGCGAGGGCCTGCGGAATCTTGTAAAAAAAATGGCGCCGGTGTCACGTCAGCAAGTAAATTTCTACATAATCTTGAATATAAACAATTATGAAAAAGCGGCGTGAAACTTGTAAATTATACTGGCGACTCTTAGGACGTGGAAGGAAGCATTTTTTAACGATAAGGTTTGTTGTCCACACCAACGTTGCACAAATAAAACTGCCTTCTTTAACAAAGCAGGTTCAAAACAACATTAATTCATTTTACAAGATTCCGCAGGCCCTCTCGAAATCGTCACCTTCCCATGACACAACGAGGGCCTGCGAAGGAGGCAGGTTTTAACCCATTAAGGTGCATAACCCTTTAAAGCCTGCTTTCCATGCATATGTTCGTAAAAATTTTGTCGCGATCTTTCTCAACAGCCAGTTTAGAATAGTTTATACCTGTGAAACAAATCATAAGTATTCTCTAGTTATAATCACTCCGCGTATTTTTACTTCAAAAGTGTTGTATTTGGGCTCATGAGAAAGATCGTGACTCAATCTTTACGACCGTTACGAGCATATGGAAACCAGGCTTTATTTTAGTTTTATTTTGTAGTTTACACAGTTAGCAATCTTTTTAAATGTATCTGGCGGTTGAGAAACACAAAATAATAATGAAATATTGTCAAGTAAATTATCACTTTCGCCGAGGGCAACAACGGCGGTCGAGGGGCCACAAAACACACTGCTTTCCCGAGGTCTCAGTAAATAAGTGTTTTGTTACATAGTATATAAGTGTCGAAGTATGAATAATTCACCGGTTATTGGAGTGAACTTAATTTGAAACTAAAACTGGATAAATGGAACGCCGTAAATGTTTAGTAAAAAGTTTAAAAAATGAACTTTGGAACTTCATGGTTGACACGCATGCGTATTGCACCCATTTTATTATTGACCAGTCAATGTTTCATTGCGGACCGGTTGCCGAACATGGACCGGCACGTGACACGGTTTTGACCAATCGGCAAACAGAAAAATTGAACTTTGACACTAACTATATAACAAATACAATTATAATTGATGCTGAAAAATTGACGCTATATATTTATACAGCAATGTAACTTGCTGAACTTCAGACATCATTTTCTCTTTGGCGTACCATCTAAAATCTCTTCATTTTAGCATTATTTTACAGATAAAGCACTAAATATACTTTTTAAGTTTGTTTGCCGCTTGAGAAATGTATCAAAAATTTATAAAATTGAATATGTACATGCATATTTTTTGTTTCCAAGATATGCGAACAGGGGTGATAGGTAATATGGTGGAACTGGGTATCACAGAATCTTATAAAGTCAAGCTGCAAGTTTTGCTGTCAGCCGCAGAAGCTGCTGAAATGATATTGCGAGTCGACGATATTATCAAGGCTGCTCCAAGGTACAACACATGCTATACAGTAGGTTTAACTAAGCGCTGTGCTGGTGAGCCTGCAGTCCTCGCACTGAGACCACGTTAACACTATACACGCGAGAACACACAAGTTGTAACAAATGCTGTTCCAACAACTTGTAGTAATGCACAACTTGTAGTAATGCTGTTCCAACAACTTGTCGACAGGATGTGTTCGCACTGCTTGTTCCTAGCTTGTTGAGAACTTGCTACAAGGTTGCTGAGCTCAACAGACTTGTTACAAGTCGTTCCAACAACTTGTTATCGTCCTGCAATTCAACAATTTGTCAACATCTTATTGAGTAGCAATCTTGCAGCAACTTGATAAAATAACATCATTGTTACAACTTGTTGACAAGCTTGCTACAAGCCTGTTGCGAACACATCTTGTTGACAAGTTGTGAGATTTTTACGTGTGTTGAAAACGATTTTTGCGTCGGAGCGAAATTGTCGTAACAATTTAAGCGCGGTTTCTGAACGGAGCGAGATGGCGGCTTCGTGTCAACACAAACGCCGTTACTTTTTTATACCGCTTGCAAACCAAACATCTCAGCTCTCAAAACAGGAAATTCGAATGCTTTTCGTTTTGGTCTCCTTTGCTCTATTTGAAATGTTTTGACTTCACAAGAGTGCTGATTTAATTTGTAAACAAATTATTAACGGTGTATTGTAAACACGTAAATTCTCCGGGTATTATTTCTCTCCAGTGTAGCGCGAACGCACTCTGAGAAAAATATTGTTCATTCTGGGTTTTTTTTTTCATTTCAGACAACGTAATCCACGCGAGGACTATTGTGGATAAATATGGATATGTAAAGTTGCATACGAGAAAGCATAATATAAACGTTTTAATTAAAGAAGACACTAAAATGTTCTAGTGTTCATGAAAGTGTGATAATAAATGTTACGAAGTATGATTGATTTTTTGTTTTAAGTGTATGTTTAGGGGCTGATCACTTCGGGAGTTTTTCAGCCCGAGTTGAATTCTAGATTCCCCTTATTACGTTTTCGTAGCGCTTTGCATTGTGGTTATAGTGGTATCACTGATAAAGATAGCGGCCTCGAATGAAAAAATTGAATGTTTTCGCGAATATTTTTCCATTGGCTATCGCGCACCTGACCCTAGCTTTTTTAAAAGTTCTTGCACGGGTCAGGACAAAAATAAGCCATCTTGAATATCAGTGATACCACTATAACCACAATGCAAAGCGCTACGAAAACGTAATAAGGGGGAATCGTCAATTGCCACTCGATTAACGGAGCTGTTTCACGATTACATGGCAAATTTCAGCCCGGGATGAGTTGGAATTTCAGTTGAAACCGGGGTGAAATTTCAGCCTCAAAATGAAACTGTTCTCCGGGGCCTGTTCACACTAATATCGATCTGAGATCGATCTGACAATGTAGTGTGAACAGGCCCATAACTTCTGCGATACTGTAATTGCATTTAAAAATAGAACAGACACAAATAAATAGAGGATATTACACGGCGGCGCGAAGATACGACTTTTATCATCGAGTGGTGAAAACAATATTTTACGAACGAGCGCAGCGAGTGAGTAAAATATTGTTTTTAACACTCGAAGATAAAAGTCATATCTTCAAGCCACCGTGTAATGTTGTATAAATACTATAGTAAAAGTCACGTGATCGATATCTTCACTTTAAATGCTGTTTTTTCAAGCCGGGTTGGAATGTCCCGTTTTCTTTGTGTTTTCTAATTTGTTCCACCCGAAAAATCACAAGACAAAGAAAAATTCCGCTTCGTGCGGAAAATTCCGCCTAGTGGAAAACAGCCTTTACAGGTAAACTACGTGAAGCGTTCCTCTTTTGACTTCCTAACTCACTTGGAATTTTCCTCATTAGCTTTGCAAATTTGAAAAATCTTTGCAAATCCCTTGAGGGAATTTACAATGTTCCTATCGGCTGTTGTAATATTCCAATGTAAAAAAGTTGTTTTGTTAGCCAATTGCAACGCGCAGAACAGAACAGAACAGGAAGTTAGGAACTTGTAACAGGAAGTCAAGAACTTCTAACAGGAACTGAGGAAAATTTAATTGGCTTTTAGCAACATTGCTCTGCCACATTGCCGAGGGCAACATTGCAGAGGGCAACATTGCAAATTTCCTCAAGGGATTTGCAAGGGAGTTTTTTAAATTGCAAAGGTAATGAGGAAAATTGCAATCAATTTAGAAACTCAAAAGAGGTAACGCTTCACGTAATGTACCTGTGAGAGGGACTACGAAAGTCGACCAAATATAGATTGTTTCATTCTTTATTGATTACATAATTAATAACTCTTTAATTACGTGTAACAAATCATGTCGCTTTACAGCTTAATGAGCTCGTTAACACAACGTTGCCTCGTCTCTTTTGCGCGTCACGAGACAGTTGGAAATTGAATGTTTAAATTTGAATAAAATAAATTTGTAGAATGTTAAAATCCTCTTAAAATAGAGCAACTAATTATGGCATGATTAAGAAATGCAAGAAGTAATATAACTACATGTCATTCCCTGGAATATCATCTCTAACAACAAACATAGGTCTAAGCACAGTTAATAGAATACATGGTTTGGAGACTCGGTGAAAGTACAATATAACTCATTAACTATGTTGGTTTCGGTTTATGCAAGAATTTGGTCCTATCTCGTCACGTGTGTATTGTATTTTTTCCCGCACAACCAATAGCAATGTTTAAATTGAGCATTTGTTCAAGTTACGGATGGATAACTCAACCACAAACTTGTTATTGGTTATTTGAGCGAAAATACAATACACACGTGACGAGATAGGACCAAATTCTTGCATAAAGCCGGACAATAACATAATTAATGAGTTATATTGTACTTTCATCGAGTCTCCAAACCATGTATTAAAATAACTGTGGTCTAAGGGACCGCTC